TGTCTCCCTTCTGTCTCCCTTTGTCTCCGGTCTTGTCTCCCTTCTTGTTGGTCACTGTGTCCTTCTTATCTCCCTTCTGTCTCCTTTTGTCTCCCTTCTTGTCTTCCTTCTTGTTGGTCATTGTGTCCGCCTTGTCTCCCTTCATTCTTTCTTTGTCTCCGGTCTTGTCTCCCTTCTGCTTCCTTTTGACTCCCTTCTTGTCTCCGTTCTTGTTGATCATTGTGTCCGTCTTGTCTCCCTTCTGTTTCCTTTTGTATCCCTTCTTGTTGGTCATTGTGTCCGTCTTGTCTCCCTTCTGTCTCCCTTTTTCTCCGGTCTTGTCTCCCTTCTTGGTGGTCATTGTGTCCGCCTTGTCTCTCGTCTGTTTCCTTTTTTTGGTCACTGTGTCCGCCGTGTCTCCCTTCTGTTTCCTTTTGTCTCCCTTCTTGTCTTCCTTTTTGTTGATCATGGTGTCCGCCTTGTCTCTTTTCTGTTTCCTTTTGTATCCCTTCTTGTCTCCCTTCTTGTTGGTCATTGTGCCCGTCTTGTCTCCCTTCTGTATCCCTTTTTCTCCGGTATTGTCTCCCTTCTTGGTGGTCATTGTGTCCGTCTTGTCTCCCTCTGTTTCCTTTTGTCTCCCTTCTTGTCTCCGTTCTTGTTTGTCATTGTGTCCGGCTTGTCACGGCGGTGTAATTTTTTCAATTTTTTCCACGGGATGCCGCCAGATGAGGGGAGGACCAGAGGAGAGAGAGAGAGAGATAGAGACCACGATTCTTGACTTGTGGTGGACAGTTCATAACATATCTCCGGAATGGTGGTCCATGTTGTGGCAGTGATTCCTTCTCTTTCAGAACACGCTCCAGAAGCCTCGTCTCGACCTTCGTCCCACGGGTCAAGAAGTTCGGCCCGGAATCAGTTTCGGAAGGGGGTCCCCCCTGCATGCCAGACCAAGTGGGGGGTTTGTCCCAATCACTTCAAACACCTCGTTTGATGCCCAAAACGCCTAGTTTGACGTTGTGGTTGGTTTTTCACATCTGACCTTCCAAGTGAGAACTCTTCCTAAGAGTTGCCTAAAGTGTGTATGTCAAATGCTACATGAAAGCATTTTCTTCACTTCACTCACCTCTCCTGTCCCAGAACCTTCACTACTTTCCCGGACTTTTGCACCGTGGGAATCACATCGTTCCACATCGTCGACTGCACCAGGACGGTGATCCCAGGGCGACGGTTGACGGATCAGGACAGCTGGTCCGACGAGGCCAACGCGACGGATGAGCCGCGGAGGGTCGACGGAGACCACGAAGACCAGCGGAGACCAGCGGCCGTTCCGCGGGGTCCGAGCGGTGCGTGGGATGCGGCGTTGGACCGGCAGTTGCAAGAAGTCTTTCGTGGCCTGGTGGAAGAGGTGGGAAGATGTGGGGAGACTTCGCAATTCGGTCCAAGTTTTTGGGGTGATGATTTGGTTTGATCTGCCCAAAGGGTCGGGGACCCTCTGATAAAGACATGAGCTTGCCACACCCGAGAAGGACCAGCCGCCAAGCCCTTGCTAATGGATGTCATAAAATATGTTGCTTTGCAATGCTTTGGGTCCACACTTCCAAAGAATGGCACGTTGGAAAGTGGCCTTTGTGGCCTCTGTGGCTTGGCCGTTCCGAAGTCGACCAATGCCAGCCCCGGCCTCCCGGCACACAGTCTCAGTATGTCCTCTCTTGGGAGGTGTGAAGATGGGTGAAGGGTTTGTTTGTGGGTGATTTCATCATCAGTTCATCTGTTCGGATCGCCGAGATTGGATGGTCGAACCCAGGACGAAGGGACCAACCTTTTCAATCCTTTTCAATTCTGTTTTTTTTGGATTTTGGACCAAGAGAGAGAGAGAGAGAGAGAGAGCGAGCGAGAGAGAGAGAGAGAGAGAGCGAGAGAGCGCGGTGAGTATAGGTATGCCCTCAAGTCCAGTCCACGATATGACTGGTCTGATACTGTATTAGGCGTTCAGGAACTTCCGGGTTTCGTCTAAAACGACCGGGTCCGGTCGTGGTCGAAGACTCGGTCTGACTCGGTCTGACTCGCAGGACTTAGACCTGGTTTGGCGGTTTTCAGGTGGATTATGGTGGATTCTGATTTTCCTGGTGGGTGAATCCCCTTAGCGTGGGGAATAGGTGTTCTTTTTGTCCGGGTTCCTGGACAGCAACTCCAAGTAGATAGGCGTGGGGGGTCGCTCTTTGTGCTACATTGGGGGTCCCATCATGTGAAACAGTCGGTAACCATCATCCTGGAATCGACGGGCTGAAAAAACCCAACTGATCAATCTGATACGATAGACTCCGATAGCCGGCTGGGGATCTGAAGGGAGCTTTGATTGGACTCCTCGGTACTTCTGTGAAGTCGCTGTGCCATGCGGATTGACATGTGGATTTACGCGAGTCCGTGCCGCTGGAGAAAGGGACGCATGCTGGTGTTAGTGCGGCGTGTCTCGCTGGTGAGCAGGATGATTGTGGTGGTGTGGCGTCGCCTGTTTACATTTAGTCTGCGACACATGGCGCGGCGAAAGGACGTCCGTGATGTGGCTGTGCCGTGCGGATTGGTGCGGCCTTGGTGGAAAGTGCGTGTTTAGGTGAGTCTGTGCCACTAGGGAAAGGGACACATGCTGGTGTAAACGCGGCGTGTCGCTGGTGAGCTGGATGATTGCTTGTGTGGGCTTGGTGTTATTGGTGTTACATCTAGCCTGCGACTGTCTGGCGTAATTACCTCTGTAATGTCGCTGTGCCATTAGTTTGCGTGAGTCCGTGCCATTGGAGAAAAGGAAGCATGCTGGTGTAAGCGCGGCGGGTCGCTGGTCAGCCAGAACAGGCCACAAGGATTTTTTTGAGACTATCACATCGACATTTCTGTTTCTAGGCATCACCATTGCGATCATCATCAACGTCGTCATCATCAACATATATCAACATCATCATCGTTACTTTCGGCCATTCCTCCTGTGCTTTCCGGCCACCCTGTCGTTGTATCACTTTTCCCATCTGCTGTATCACGCTCGCTTCTAAGATGCCATTTTTGCGGCGGAAGCAAATTTTACATGTGGGGTTATCCGGTCGTATAGTTTTTGCAGCTGAGCCTTTGTCCGGAGCTCTGAGGTTGCCCAGATGGATGCGAAATCCCGATTCAGTTCGTGCTGCTGGGCGCACAAAGTCGTGGGCGAGATCTTGTGTTTGCGTTTTCCTTTCCCACCCCCGAAGGAACAGATGAGACGAAGTCGCAGAACCTCTGAGATGCTCTGCGGATTCGTCGACGAAACTTCGACTTCACCCTGAGGGGCCGCTCATTGATGGATAATCTATTTTGCCCGCTCAGGAATGATGACTTCTGCGACTGCACGAATTGCGCCGACGAACTCGATTGGACCTGTGGCACGTGTGGCGCCCAACAGGAGGAGGATGTCGCTGTAGGCACCAGAAGCGCGTCGCCCGAACCACACGAAACGCAATAGGAATTGTTGTAATTCCGCGTTCGTTGCTTCTTCCACTAGTTCCGAACACTCTTCATTTCTTTTTCCACTCCCCCCTCGCATCCCCCCATCCCTTCCAATGTGAGGTGTGGGTGTCGGCGTGGGCGTCGGCACCGGCCTGGCGTTGGGCCTCGGCCTCGGCGTCGGTCTGGGCACCGGCCTCGGTGCTGGCGCCGGCGCGAGCGCGGGCGCTGCCACCGCGGGCGCTGCCACCGCGGGCGCTGCCACCGCGGGCGCTGCGAGCGCGGGTTCTGCGAGCGCGGGCGCTTCGGGCGCGACTGGACTGGTGGGCTTGGTGGCTTTGGCGGCGCAAGGACTCTTGAGGCCGACAGGAGGGAAGAAGCGGGCACAGCCGGGCACACCAAAAGGGATCCCAAAGGATCGCAAAGTATATAGTTTGACAGACGTTGCGGTTGAAGACACGTCCCCCCAGTTCCGGTGACTCGTCTTAGCAGCACTGGTCGATGCATGAGTTCAGCACACTCCCCGCCATTCCCTCGCGGGGTCACGTGTGCCGCCCACCGATCGCTCCACCGATTGGCGGGGTGGGACACCCAGCGCATCAGGTCCGCGGGTGTTCCGTGCGTTGGGGGAGTGCTGCAGCCTCTCGGCTGGTTGCTGCACAGGCTTCGCATCAAAGACGCGACCACCTTGCAAGACCCCAAGTTCGTCCAGGCTCTCAAGGACCCGGTCGACGCGGAACCTGACTGCCGTCGACCGTGCGGTGGAGGTGTGGTGAGCTCTTGGGTGGTTTCGTCACCCGCGGAGAAGGTGGAAGCAGGAGGTGGACATCACGGTCGTTCGATCAGTGTCCTCCAACACAGGTGAAGTGACCATAAATAGGACCCGGAAAACCTGAGGTACCTATAGGACAGTCTTCGGGGTTCTTCAACCACGGCTGGCTGACTCCCAGGGCTAACTCGTCCCACTCAGACCTTCCTCAGGGCCAAGCCTTGTTGGAGAACGCAGGCATCACATGGCCTCACATGGCCTCACGACGGAAGTGTTTCTCGCAGGACACCATCGCGCGGTTGTCAGGGAGTGGAGTTGCTGCAGCGATGGTGGAGCTCATCATCAACTGTGTCAATGTGTCTTAGTAGCAATGCCAGGAGTAGCGATGCCCTTGTTACTAGTAGCTTCTTGTTCGTAGTAATGCCAGGAGCTACTAGTGCCAAAGATGGGCAAACGCAAGTCCGCCGGTAGAACCCCGAAGTGCTGTCATTGGCTGCAGGTGTTTGTTCCATGTTTTTCTGTTGGACCTATGGCTTTGGGTGGCTGCAAAGACTTTTGCAGCACCATATGAGAGAAGTTCTTCATCGTTACCCTAGACTTCCAAGACCACTAAAAACATGTTTGACATGTTTTTGTAGTGTATAATCCTTCGTAATTAATGGCTCTTCGGCACACCGATGAAGTTATTGGTGGTTGAACCACACCTTCTGCGCCCCCCGAAACACTCCACGCCGAAACCGCCGGAGCGTCACGCCCGCCCACGCCAGCTCGACGATCCGCGTCGATGACTCTCGGGTTTTCGATCCTCGACTTTTGGGCGGAACTTTGCTTCAGGGATTTGGGAGACCATTACTACTAGTAACTACTAGTAACAAGAAGCTACTAGTAGCTCCTGGCAGTACTACTATAGTGACAAGAAGTTATTAGGTTGGAGGCCATCGCTAGTAGGTTGGAGTCCACTACTACTAGTCAGTAACCAGAAGCTACTGGTAGCTCCTAGCATTGTTACTAGTAGCAAGAAGCTATTAGGTTGGAGGTGATCGCTAGTAGGTTGGAGGCCATTATATACTTTAGCCTTACTACTAAGTTACTAGTAGCAAGAAGCTACTAGTAACAAGGGCATCGCTACTAGGAACAGGGCTTCGGGAGACCCTGAGTGTTCTGAACACGCACGGTTTGTCGGGCGTTTCCAAAGAGGAACTCTCAGGGGAGACATTTGGCTACGAAGGCCGTTGGATCATGAGACAGTAGCCATGCCTTGGTGCTAAAGCAGTCTTGTTCATTGATGCAGCTTTCAGAACAACCATCACTTTTCAATGTATGGAACATGATCTTGATACAGCAGCAGGTCCAAGCTGTGCAGAAAGGATCAACCATCACATCAGGACCTTTGTTCCAAATGATTTCTGAATTTTCCATGCATACCCAGCCAAAAAAGCTAGCTGAGCACGCACATACCTGCCTTTGGATCCCAGGCAGGTGCTCCTTCGGACATGCCTTCAATGCCAGCCATGAAGCTCCCACGAGCAGAGAATGAAAGCTCTTTTTGTATTTATTTGTGTTTCTCAAACCTCTGCAGTCTGCGGGAAGCAAGCAATGAAGAGAGGCCGAAAACCATAGAGGCATAGAGGTCCCTTTTCTATTGCTTGGTTGATGAATAGAGGGGATAACCCCGGTCGTGTACAACCATATGGTCTAAATTCCGTTGGAACGACGCACGCGGTTCGGAACATTCTTTCGCCAAATTAGACCAGTTCTTCTTGAAAGCTTCAATATACAGGTATATCATTTGCTTTCTTTGCTTCTTTGTTTTGCTGTCAAAGGTTGGGAATCTAAGGACTCTGCCGTACGACGGAGATGGCCAGACCCGCCCAAAGGCTGGTCTCGTCTCATCTCGTCAACTCGACACACCGGTGGGTCCTGCATCACCCGAAGCCCATGGTGGTTGATAGATACCTGGATCTTCCAACTGTGGGCCAAAGGAATTGCCAAGTTAGGCAGACAGGAAGAGCATAGTTGGAAGATCCAGGTAGATATTGATATAATATCCCTGACATCCCCTGAGCTATGTCTTTTCCTTGCTATCAAACCATCAACTCCGCCACTCCGTCTATTGCTGGGACGAGTATTTATTCTCTTGCGAATGAACAACTTAAAAAACCTACAAATTTGCAGGTGAAAAGAGTCCTACAGGTCCTAAGTCTGTTGTCTTTTATGAAACGCGTTTTGGGGAACGGTCTCAGAAATATCAATTGGCGACATAGGTATCTAAAAGAATCTATAGATTTTTCAGCTGGCTACATCTATTCTGTATGATTATGTCTAATTCAACTGCACTGGATATGATTCTTATTTGGGCGTCTTCGGTCCACTTTTCCCGACGATGGTCGCCGTTTATCGAGCTACCGCCGCCGCCGCGCCCTCGTCGGGTCGAGCTGTCAGACGGTGGACGGGTTTTTTGCGACAAAACACACACGTGGACGGTAGACGATTCGCCTGATCTTTATATAAGCCTGGAGATGTGTCAGACCATTCTGGATATGCTGGGGGAATTGGATGAAGGACCAATCTTCCTCTGTGATCGACTCCCTAAAGATTCCCAAAAAGACCGAACACCGCGTCGTGTGAGGAGGATCGAACCAACCCAGGGATGCGCCGGCCGCAGGTGGCGCACCTGGATGTTGATGTTGGCTCCTTCCACCCAGGGGGGAGGAACCACGATGGGTTGGAAAGCTACAGGAGAGTCGATCCATGTAGATCCTCAAATCTGGGCTCACACGCCTTCTTGAATGACAGACCGTTTTTCCATGACGTAACAGTTGAACAAGTGACTTGTTGCGTTTGTTCATCTTTTGGATCTTCGGCCGGAGATCCTCGACATGGGTGTGACACACCTCTTGGAGGTGGCAAAACGGGGTCGCGACACGCCAAAGGCGCAGACCCGGCGGTTGCTGCGTCCGGCGTTCTGGCGGCTGGCACGGAGACTGCAAGCCACGGTGGGGGTGTGCTTTCAGGTGCAGGTGGAGGACAACTCGGCCAAGGAGCCCCTCTGTTTTGGGTTGGGGTTTGGTGGATGTTCAAGATTTTTTCAGAGATGGAGTACTGAACGAAAGAGATGGGGTGGGCCAGGGTAGATTCATCGAACATGTCCACCCACTTTCGGAGGGCCCCGATGACATGTTCGGGACATCCTTGGTGCCCCACAAGATGGGCGAACAGAGAACAAAGCCTCGAAAAGACTGATGACATGGATCAGACACCTGACCTGACCTCATATGCGCCGCTTGAAGAAGCCAGAAGTGCTTCGGAAAGCCAGCGCGTGCCAAGCCCACTTCGTGTTCGACCTCACTTCTCAGGAGGTGTGCCAAACCTTGAGCACCTACAACTCGGAAATCGTCCAGCAAGTTCTGTCCTCCGAACTCCTCGGGGCTGGCATCAATCCGGCGGACGTCACGGTGGTGGGCCCCTTGGAGCGAGGAACACACCGAAGCCGGCTACTGCCGGCGCTGATGGCCTCTACTTGGAACAGATGAAAGGGAGGGACTCTTGAGGAAAGAACCAAACAACTATAGGCTTTTGGATTCTTTTTGGGGCTTCATTCTCCCATCCCAGCCGTTTTGACATTGAAAAACAGGCTACGATGCAACGCCCAATCCGCGCTCCTACAATCCTTTGCAAGATGATGATGCGAGCTTCTTTGCTCCTGCCTCCGGCGTTAGCCTCGGGAGACTTTGAGGCCTGAGGGAATAGGATTTCTGTAATGCGGACTCTTGGTGAATAGGCTCCCCATATGAAAAGATTCTCACTATCCCAAAGGGGGGGTTGATCAATCAAGATTCTACATTAGAGGACCCTTTGAGTATTCTTCACTAGTCACTAGCTGGACTTCTGCAGAAAGGACAGACCAAGTAAAACAATAGGGAAGACCTGGCAAAAGAGAATCTATACGTTGGTTGTGATCTATGGTCAGACAGATCATTGCCGGTCTCAAGTGATGAGTCAAGCCGGCAGGCGAACATGGTCATTTTCTCTGACGAAGACATCCCTTTAATTCAATCAGCAGCTATAATTCACTTTTTCAAACTGATTGTTTTGAAGAAGGAATTGTCCTCGCAACTCTCTGTTTGCGGCTGCCTGCACTGTCTTTTTGGCAGCTCTAGCCCGCTCGAGCTGCCCAAAATCCGCTTCGACATCTGGGACAGCGATGTTTTACAGATGTCTTGGAATCTGACCGGTCTTCCAAAGTGAAGCTACGGTCTTCGAAAGTGAAGCTACGGTCTTCCAAAGTGAAGCTACGGTTGTAGGCTGAGAACCTTCAGTTTCGGAGGATGGGCCAGAAAAGGACCGAGTCTGTGGATAGCTGAGTGTAGAGCGAGTTTGTGGATGTCTGTGGTGGGGCTCGAGAGGTTTGTCCATCAGTTGATGGTTGGCTTGTCGTTTGGGGCCATTTGGAGGCCATCGCTATTAGGGTGGAGGTCATCGCTAGTACGTTGGAGGCCATCGCTGTTAGGGTGGAGGCGATTGCTAATAGGTTGGAGGCCATTGCTACTTGGTTCGAGGCCATCGCTAGTAGGTTGGAGATCGCTAGTAGGTTGTGGGCGTCGGGCTTGGAATGTCGCGCATTGGTAGGTCGCGCGGAGTGGGGGCTGCCACCGCTGCGGGGATTGATCAGCTGCGCAGGAGCCCAAAAGGACTTGAGCGAGAGACTCTGTAGAGGTCATCCCAAACACATGGACCCTGGTGTCAAGACATTTGCCAGCACGACGGAGTTCGCGTGGTTTTGACCAAACACATACATAGTCAGGAGTGTCTAAAATAAGCTCTTTCCCTGGCTGCGGCTCTTCGCGACCAGTGAGTCGGGACCTTCGTTCCACAGCACCGGCGTGAGCGGCGAGCGGGTGTGTTAGTTTGTTAGGAGAACATGCCATAAAGCATCATTTTCAGCCGCTGGCCAATACCCTTCAAAGTTGTGTGACACTTAAGTGGAATGTCCGAAACTGTGACACTTGAGTGCCTTGCACCGGATCGCACGTTGCTCCGAACTCACCCATTGTGCTTCTTGATGTATGTAGTTTGTTGCAGCTGGTTCAAACTTAGGCAAAATGGCAAGTCCGCGCATGAGTGAATTCCAACGAGTCCTTGCAGCTTCCTTCGACCAAAAACATGTCCTTCTCAGGGTGAGCTTGGCGTTTTTTATTCGTTGCAGAAGACTTCCCCAAAAAATAGCAGGACGAGCGCCATAGCCAGGTTGTATGACTTCAAGTATTGAAACCTCATTCAGAAGATGTTTTGCAATTGGATCAGGAAGTGGTTTTGTATGTCGTTTTGGTCTTTGCCATCCAGCCCAAATGCCAGAACCCGCCTGCCCGAAGCCCGAACAGGAGGCTTTTGACCCTGCATAGTAGGGCTTTGGACCCTCAAAACTCTTCATTTTTGAGTGTCCTTGTTTCTTAGGGTGGAAGAAAACAGCAGCCAGCGCCAGCGAACTCTGATGTTGCCGACCCTTCCCAGCGACTCTTCCAACCCGCGCGCCAGCGACCTGGTCATGAAGCCGGTCATGAAGCCCAATGGGTCGAGGCCAGAGGCGAAGTCCAAGCCGCTGGGCGAAAGCGGCAGAGATGGGGTCCCGGTGGGCCCAAGAAATGCTTACTGGGTGGTGGTTTCAGTTGATGTCCAACCTTTAATGTGGGATTAGAACAAACCGACTGACTCAACCCACTGACTCATATGTTTGTATTGTTGTTCCTGCGTTGAAACCACCAACCATACTATACTGTCAATTCTTTGGTTGGTCTGGTGTTGGAGCATGGGCCCCAACAGAAGCTGGAAACGGGGCTTTGGCCACTAGAAGCACGTGGTTTTGGGCCATTCGCAAAGCCATTCCGAGTGGCTCAGGCCAAGCCCTTGGGAAGTGGCTGCCAGCATCACGGCAGGTGCACAGTGAGCATGTGAGTGAAGAAGTGTTACATTCAAGAGTGTTGTTTCCAGAACCAGGTGGTTTCGGAAGACAGTTGGTGCTTGTGTGGACACGAACATGTTTGCATTTTTGGGTCCATCCAAGCATTTGCATTACAACTAGCAGCTTCCCACGCTTGTGTGGCTCAAGCTTTTTTGGGGGCCTTCTATATCAATGCACGCAGGCTCCTTCAACAGCCGCCTGAAAAAGGGAGACGGAAAAAGACATCCGCCGAGATGGAATCCATTGTGACACGAGACATGAACATAGACCCTTTCACCACATTCTTGGATGAAGATGTATGGACAAGATCCCCCACCACCTGGACTTGCCAGGACTTAACAATTTTCCCTGCATTTCTTTTTCCTCTTTATGCCACTGGTCTTTCTGGGCCACCTTATATTAGCCTTATATATTTGCGAGAAGGTTGATACCCTTTCTTTGTGTTCATCGCTCCTACGCCTCAGAAGAAGCATGCATCCAGACTACGTACAACAGCTGCAGCATGCTGCAGCGAACACAGGTCTCAGACTAATGTATTCATTCTCCACCTTATTGGAAGTTCACTCCCCAGGATGGGAGGACAATACGAAGCTATCACACCCTCCTTCCTGATGTTGTTTACCCATGTTCGCTCCAGCTTCGCTTCTTCACCTCTTTCTTTTGAAAGTCAGGACGTCCGACAGCCTCCCCGTGCGCCCCGTAGCGTTTGCCTACACCCTTCAGCAACTCCCACAGCCACTGCCCCTACACCGGGGACCCCGGCGCGGTCATGTCGTCCGAAGTCGACGATTTGCTCGAAGCTCGGCGGAGCGAGTTGGGGCGGAGCGGCGGTGGGCAGGGGGCTTGGACCTTTCCGGGGAAAGGCAGACATTCGGTGGAGCTCCGCCCCATGCGGAGTTCGCTAGTCAAGAATAAACTAGAATAATATAGATTTATATAATGACATCTAAAACCTTTTAATTGTTTGTTCAAAGTTACTCCTATTTAGAGATGGGCGGCACTTTTGGTTCCCCAAGCAGCACATTTTTCATCGTCGGATGACCCACTGGAGAAGAACCAACGGTTCCTGCAAGCTCTGTCGACGGCAGGTCCAAAAGAGGTTGAAGAACCCTAGTTCGACTATCCCAGTTGGGTACCCCAGGTGACGGGTCCTATTTACGGTCACTTAACCTCTCCTGCGTGTTTCAGCACAAGCACCATGGCACGGTTTTCCACGTTTCGATCCCCATGCCACGATCCGAATGCAACGGCCGGGGTACTGGATCGACCAGAATGGTGCGACCCGCGGTCAACAAAAAACAGTGGTTGTGAGCCGATTTGCATGAACAAGTGGTCAGTTTCATGAACTCACCCTAAACCTTGTGAATCATGGGGTCCAAGAACCTAACGCTTCACTTTGGAGGTTTGAGGGGTGCCAGACGATGGCAGGGGACCTGCCTTCTTCCAGTCGATTTCCATTTTCTTCACCCGATGCTCGTAAGCTCGACTGACTGGGGGGTCTGAGAACGTGCCCTGACCTTGGACCTTGGACCTGACACCTTCGGTCAGGAACTATCGAACGCTGCAGGCGGATCCGGAATCAGCCCCATGTCACCAGACGGGGCGGAGGTGTCCGCACTCGTGCACCGCCGGGCGGGGCCTCGTGGCGCTGGGGGTCGTCACGCTGGCCCTTTTGGGCTTCTTCGCTGCCGGATGGGGCGGGGCTGCGGGCACCCGGGCCAGTTCGCCAACGGAAGAGGCGAACGGAGAGACCGATCGCGAAGGGTGGGCGGATGTCTCGGGCCGTGGGACGTGGGACGTGGTCACAAGGGAGGGGGCACGGCATGAAGATGTGGCACACCACAGAGTCGACCCTGATGACCGCCATGACCGCCATGCACGCCATGCCGCACAGGTGCAACTGCAAGAAACCTCTGGATGCCCCGCAGTACCTTGGGGCTGTGGGATGAATCACAGGATCAAGCGGGGGCGATTTCCGGTTTCCAAGCTTCAGGTATCAGATCTTGGTCTCATTGGTTTGTCATCATTGCAGGCAGTTTCTCCACCCAGTTGGGCTGGGTCACCCAGTAGTTGGGCCGCAGTGTGGCTGAATGTGTAACCGAAAGTCCTTGGATTCTGGATTGATTTGCTTGGCCAAAAGTGATTACTGAACCCGGGACCCCGTCACCAGGGACAAACAAATGGGAAGAGCACCATGAAACACCTATTTTTCACCAAGTGTCAGGAGAGTACTGATCAATCATTCCTCCAAGCAAGGCCAATTGGGCATAAAAACTCACAAACCACCAATCACATGCAGGTCGCATGAGTATCATGGGTCGGCCATTTCCCTACATCGCTGTGACCATTTGCTCAAAACTCCTTGTGCTTGGTGTTCTGAGACTATGGGTCCAGATCCCATCGCTTCTGTTGTTCGTTGGACGAAGAAATCGCTGGACGGACAATTACAACCTTTATGGGAGTTCCATTTGCAAACCGTGCCGAGGTCTGCGGGGAGTCTGTTGCATGCACCGATGGGGCAGTGAAGCCGGATATTACCACTAGCACTACCACCTCGTCGCCGCAAGCGAAGGCGGTTTGGGGAACCTCGGGATGATGTGAGGAGGTGTTCGGCGGTTTTTCAGAGACACTTTAGGTACTACCATCGCTATTGGGTTGGAGGCCATCGCTATTATATAGGTTGGAGGCCTTTGCTATTGGGTTGGAGGCCATTGCTATCAGGTTGGAGGCCATTGCTATTAGGTTGGAGGATATTGCTATTAGGTT